GCATTGAGCCATGGCAGTTCATGTGGTGTTGAAGAGCATTAAGTCTACAGTGTAGATGCACCTATAGCAAACAAACTGAGAACTGAGATGATCCAGGGAAAAAGTAAAGTAATTTCTGACTTAAAACCATTGTGTGCCCTTTGTATCTTCTCACCTTCCAAGCAAGACCTTCTAGTAACCATCTATAGTAGCTTTCCTGGAGTCTTCTGTTTGGTTCCCAGCTTGAAGTAAAAAAATAAAATAGGGATGGCCTTGTTACACCCGACAGGTCACAGTACATAGAGGGATACATTTGTCTTGATGTGTTACTCTAGTTTGTGTAGGTAAGCCATGAATCATCTGTTGTATCTTTCTGTTGTAATCCCAAACAGGCCACATTACTACAGTTCAACCAGACTTCAGAAATAATGGTCTAGTTCTGAACCATTACTAACTACCTCTCCTCCAAATTGAGTTAATGCATTGCCAAAACCAAGCTTGTATTTTTAGAAAACATCAGCCTTCTTTTTTCATGGTCAGCCAAACTGTATGCTGTGCAAGATATTTGGTCCATGCAGGATAAGATCTCTGATTTTTTTAAAAATGAATTGGTTCCTTGGCCAGAGTACTGAGTAAAAGAGAGGGTGAGAGCAGGGAAACTATTTACTTTCTTTGTTGCCTATAGTAACTAAATATGTTGTTTTAGTTGCTATTTTAGTTACTTTGAAAAAAAAACATCCTAATATGTCAATTTTCTGTCCTGTGCTACAACACACGAATTCTGCTAGTGCACATCACTGTTTCTTTCCAATCATCATGATTCCATCATGATTCAAGCTATCACCTGAATCATGATGAAACAATCTTTCTCTACCACTTAGTGAGATCACCCCAGCCTTAAGAGTTGCAAAGAAGCCACAGGTACTCCACAAACTGAAAAATGTTAAAAGTGAACAAATAATTGTATTTGGCTTGTATTCGAGGAAGAGTTCTTTAAACACAGCTTTCTTTTGGCAAGGTCAGACACTTTGCCAAAAACTTTTTGAAAGTTCAAACACACAGTCATCCTGCCCACTGCTTCTCAGCTTTCTCAAAAGACTCTCACATTGAAATTCTTCTTCAGCAAGACATGTTCTTTTTTATATTCACCCATGGACTTCTTTTTAAAATTGGCAGCTTTTCAGTTTCCTGGTGCAGTGATGGATCTTAGGGACAAGTGTGATATATCTTTGTTAGAAGATCAACAAATTAGAATGGTTAAAGAACTGGGTTGCTATGAGTTTTCCAGGCTGTATGGACATGTTCCAGAAGCATTCTCTCCTGACATTTCACCTACATCTATGGTAGGCATCCTCAGAGGTTGTGAGGTCTGTTAGAAACTAGGCAAGTGAGGTTTATATATCTGTGTAATGTCCAGGTTGGGAAAAAGAACTCTTGCCTGGTCGAAGTAGGTGTGAATGTTTCAATTGGCCACCTTGATTAGCATTTAATGGCCCAGCAGTTTCAAGGTCTGGCTTCTTACTGCCTGGGGAATCCTTTGTTGGGAGGTGATCCTTTGTTGGGAGGTGAAACAATCAGGGCCAGCTGATCAATAGAATTAAAAACAAATCAAAACATATCATCTGTTTTCCTGCAAGAAACTTTATTTCTAGTAGCTTTCTTTATTTTTCAACCGTGATGCTGTCTAATTCAATAGAGTGGAAATCCATTTTGAATTTAAGTCTGCACACCCACCTTGCAACTTGTGAGAATTTGGCAGTCATCTGGTGAATTCCCTGAATCTATATCGGGGCTTTTGGCACAATCTGTCTAGGATAGGCATGGGCAAACTTGGGCCCTCCAGGTGTTTTGGACTTCAACTCCCACAATTCCTAACAGCCGGTATTGTCAAAGGAGTTAATGGCTGGAATCACTGGGTTGTTGTAGGTTTTTTGGGCTATATGGCCATGTTCTAGAAGCATTATCTCCTGATGTTTCACCAGCATCTATGGCAAGCATCCTCAGAGGTTGTGAGGTCACAACTTCTGAGAGAATGCTTCTAGAACATGACCATATGGCCTGAAAAACCTACAACAACCCACCTGGTAGGCTATTAGGAATTGTGGGAGTTGAAGTCCAAAGCACTTGGAGGGCCAAAGTTTGCCCATGCCTGGTCTATGACCATATGGCACCACCTACATGGACCATTTAAGGGAGTTTCAGATCATATTGAAGAAAGAGGTTTCACTGTGCAGGTGATTACTTAGGAAATCCTGGAACCAGTTTGAGAAGTCAAACTGAGAAGTTCTTCAGAAGTTCTTAATCACCAAACAGCGATTAAGCAAACCACAGAGCACTGGTGCGCATTAAGGACTTTCTTTTGTGTGCCCTTTGTAACTGTCTGTCATCTGGGTGCCAGTTTGAAGCTAGGTTCAAATTGCATTGTGTGACAGTGTAAATGGAACCTGTGATATTTGTACTGATCTGCTCTAGAGCATTCTGGTTGAACCACAATATATAAAAACCCTTTCCAATATAAATAAACAAGCAAGCAAGACTGCAATCCTGCATACAGTTAAAATGCTTCAATCTCACTGAGATGCTCATGGTGTGTGTGTGCTGGAGTGTAGTTTAAACGGCTGTAGTGAGAGACAATGGACTCAGGAATTTGCTTGGTTTTTCATTTTGGGAGGGCGACCAATCCCTGCAAATTTAGTGTTACTGTGTCTTAATGCCACACTCCACAGAGTTGCTCTGTAACTGTCAGGGCCCCATCTTTACTTACCATTTAGTGCGGTTTCAAATCAGTATTGAAGAATGAATTTTGTGGTGCAGAAGATTCCTGGAATCAGTTTGAGACCTGGATGACGATTCCACAACCTCGGAGCACCGTGTGCATTAAGGGCTTTATGTAGCATGCTTTGATGGGAATTTGTTTTCTGTCCATCGTAGATTGAAGATAGTCTTGAACTGTATTAAATGGTCAGTGCAGATGACTTCTGAAGAACTCCTGAAGAAACAGCTGTGATGTTCCCTATCAAACCATGATGCTGGTACTGGAAATAATGGATGTGCACTTTTTTCCTCACGAATATTGATCATCTCAACTTATTATGACAATGGCTCCATCTACCAGTGGTTCCCAACCTTAGGTCCTCCAGGAGTTTTGGACTTCAACTCCCAGAAATCCCACCTGACTTAGCATTTGTTAAGAATTGTGGGAGCTGAAGTCCAAAACACCTGGAGGACCAAAGCTGATATGTTTTGATTTGTTCAGCTGATATGTTTTGATTTGCTGATGTCATTTTAACAGTAACTTTTTCTACATGAAGGTTTTTTTTTTTAAAAAAAAAAACAGCAACAACATACAATCTATCAGCGAGCATGCCCTTCAGCTATCCTATTTTGGCAGGGACAGTCCCAATTAACAATCTGCCATCCAGCTTTTACCACTGCTTTTTTTAATGTCCTAGTTTCTCTCTCCTCCTCCCACTTTCCCCTTTTGTCCTTCAACTGCTGCAAAATTTGTACAGGCAGTCCCCAAGATGCAAACATCCAACTTACAAATGACTCATGATTAAGAATGGGGTGAGACAACAGGAAGTGAGAGAAATCTATCTCTATGAAGAAAAATTCGCTCCTGAAAGAATTATTATTATGGGGAAAAGCGGTCTCCACTGAAGCTTTCTCATCAATCCTTATTTCTCCAAAAAGCCATTTAAAAAAATCCAATTATCACAGGGACAGAAAGTAAGGTGAAATCTTCTGGACAGAGGCATAGACAGCAAAAGAAATACCAGAGGGTTGTTAACCCTTATTTATTTATTTATTTATTTATTTATTGTTTCAGGAGCAAACCAAACAGTTGTATTGCATAAAACCCCCCAAAAAACAAACAAACAAACAGAACACAAAGTTTGCAAACTTGGTATTCGATTAAATGTCCTTTGACCAGTAGCTGGCCACTTGAAGTGCCTCTGGTGTTGCTATAAGGTCCTCCATTGTGCATGTAGCAGGACTCAGACTATATTGCAGTAGGTGGTCTGTGGTTTGCTCTTCTCCTCACTTGCATGTCATGGATTCCACTTTGTAGCCCCATTTCTTAAGGTTGGCTCTGCATCTCATGGTGCCAGAGCGCAGTCTGCTCAGCGCCTTCCAAGTCGCCCAGTTTTCTTTGTGCCCAGGAGGGAGTCTCTCATTTGGTATCAGCCATTGATTGAGGTTCTGGGTTTTAGCCTGCCACTTTTGGACTCTTGCTTGCTGAGGTGTTCCAGCGAGTGTCTCTGTCGATCTTAGAAAACTATTTCTTTATTTAAGTCGTTGGCGTGCTGGCTGATACCCAAACAGGGGATGGGCCAGAAATGTCACTGCCTTGGTCCTTTCACTACTGGTTGCTACTTCCCGGTGGATGTCAGGTGGTGCAATACCGGCTAAACAGTGTAATATCTCCAGTGGTGTAGGATGCAGACACCACGTGATAAGGCGGCATGTCTCATTAAGAGCCACATCTACTGTTTTAGCATGGAGAGATGCATATTCAGCAGCAGAGTAGCATAGTGCAAGGGCAGATGTCTTCACTGTATCTGGTTGTGATCCCCTGGTTGTGAGATCACAACCTGGGGACCCTTCTCTATGCTATCATGCTTTGAATAGCACAGAAAAGGAAAAGGAAGGGGCCTGATGCTGTCAGGAATGCTGGAAGCTGAAGTTCAAAACACCTGGAGGAAGGGCCGAAGTCTGCCCATGCCTGGTGTAGATGGAGCCGATGATGTGAAATATGGTCTATGCAAGGAGACATTTTTGTATGCATGCAACAGAGCTTTCTCCACACCTTTGAGGTCAGGCTTGCAGGAAGAGTGGAGCCCACTGCATGTGTTGCCATCCCAACATTTGGAGGAGGCAAATCTGTCTCCAAGGCACTCTTCTTTTGGAGTTTGTAGGAGCTGTGGCTGCTGCCTGGAGCGTGCTGCTCCTGCAGTTGGCTCCTCCCCGGGGTGCCCCAGAACAGGAAGGGGTGGAGGTGGAAGGAGGGAGCCTGGAGGAGTCCCTTGGCTTGTGTGTGTGTGGGTGAGGGAGTGTGTGCCTCCTGCCTCTGAGCCCCCCCCCTTTCACCCCTTCTTCTTCTTCTTCTTCTTGACGATGCGTGTGCGCGTCTTATGTTACAGCAATGCTGCCTCGCACACCAGTGGCCAGAAGAGAGGGGCGAAGGGAGGAAAAGCCTGTTTACACAGACTGCAAACCGCCTGGGGAATAATGCAGGAAAGGAAGTGAGCCGGCTCGCTGTCTGACTGCTCCAACTTCCTGCGCTCTCTCTTTCTCTCTCTCTCTCTCTCTCTCTGGAAGAGAAAAGAGCCAAAGGGGGAGAAAAAGAAACCCCAACAAACCAGGATCTCATTGCTGAGGACTGTCAGCATGGCAACGAAGGGGATTTTACCCAGCTCCCTTTAAAGACGGCGAGGAGAGAAGAAGCCCACCAGAGTTTGGGTAAGTGGGTCGAAGTTGGAAGTTGGAAAGGGAGAGAAAAGGCTGGGATGAAGGGGGGGGGGGCAGGTGGGGAAGAGTTGGACAGGGATTGGGGTGGGATGGAAAAAAGGGGTTCCCACTTCATCACACTAGAGAAAAAATCCAGTTAAAATCCGGTTTCTGCCTCCTGCAGAATTCTGGAGTTTGTAGTTTCGTGAGGTTGTTAAACTACATGGCATAATTTTGCCATTCAAACAGGATCCAGGGAAAAGAAGGGAGCTGGTTGTGGTGCCAGACAAAAGTGCCATCTGGCAATTGGGGGGTGGTCTGTTTGAAGGAGATCACTCAAGGGCTTTCCTGGCTTCCCAAAGGAGGAGAGGAGGCACCCATGGCCCCATCTCCTTTGGACATTTCCTGCTGTTTCACTGCAGGGACCAGACAACAAACTCCCACCAAAGTGCCCCAAAGGAAGCCCTTCTTGGTGTGCCTCAGTTGCTCTGTGGTTTGTGGAATCTACCAGGATTCTCTATGCAAACAGTGACCCCCCCCCACTTGAGTGTATGGATAGGCCCCCACGTGGGGCCGCATCTGCACTGTGGAATGAAAGCAGTTTGACACCACTTGAACTGTCAGGGCTCAGTGCTTTGGAGTTCTAGTTGGGTGAAACACTAGCACACTATGGCAGTGTTTCTCAACCTTTCTTATACTGTGACCCCTTAATACAGTTCCTCATCTTGTGGTGACCCCCAACCACAAAATTATTTTCGTTGCTACTTCATAACTGTAATTTTGCTAGTGTTATAAATTGTAATGTAAATATGCAGGATGTATTTTCATTCACTGGACCAAATTTGACACGAATACCCAATATGCCGAAATTTGAATTCTGATGGGGTTGGAAGGGAATTGATTTTGTCATTTGGGAGTTGTACTTGCTTGGATTTATAGTTCCCCTACAATCAAAGAGCATTCTAAACTCCACAAATGATGGAATTGAACCAAACTTGGCACACAGAGCTCCCACAACCAACAAAAAAATACCGGAAGGGTTTGGTGGGCATTAATAATGAATTTTGGAGTTATAGTTCACCTACACCCATAGAGCACTGTGGACTCAAACAATGATAAATCTGGACCAAACTTGGCACAAATACGCACTATGCCCAAAAGTGAACACTGATGGAGTTGGGGAAATAGACCTTGACATTGAATACACAATATGCCCAAATGTAAACACTGGTGGAGTTTGGGGGAAATAGACCTTGACATTTGGGAGTTGTAGTTGCTGGGATTTATAGTTCACTTGCAATCAAAGAGCATTCTGAATCCCATCAACGATAGAATTGGGCCAAACTTCCCACACAGAACCCCCATAAGCAACAGAAAAGACGGTGTTTTCTGATAGTCTTTGGTGACCCCTCCCATGACTCTATAGCCTTGATGCAGGACCGTTTCACGTGGAGTCAGACTTTCTAAGGGTGCATCTACACTGGAGGAGTATGCAGTCTGACACCACTTAAGCAGCTGTACCAGGCATGGGCAAACTTGGGTCCTCCCTCCAGGTGTTTTGAACTTCAATTCCCATTATTCCTAGCTGCTTCATGCTCTTTCCTTTTTCCCTCAGCCACACAAGGAAGAAGCCTGAGGCTGTTAGGAATGGTGGGAGTTGAAGTCCAAAATACTTGGAGGGAGGACCCAGTTCTGAGCAATACAGTCAGGGGAGCAGCAGTTGTGCAAGATCTTTGGCCTTCTCTGCCAAAGCATATCAAAATACAACTCCCAAGATTCCATAGCATTGAACCCTGGCAGTTAATAGTGGGGTCAAACTGCATTCATTCCTCAGTGTGAATGCACCTTAAAAGGGGAGTGAAATGGAGCAAGGAGGGTTGTGGAGACTGTTGTGCATTTTGCAGGCGTGCAGCTGTCCACATGTGTTGGGAAACCCCTTTTGTAGCAACCACATGGACCATCTGGCCAAGACAATGACTTTGGCTGTTGTGTAGAGAAGGAAAGAAGGAAAGGAGTCTCGAGGAATGAAGACTGGAGTTTGCTCAGGTCCAAGGCATCTTGCTGGGGGTTGTGGGGGCTTGGAAGGAGAGGAAGGAATGGCCCCAAAGGGGGGGCTGCTGGGGGGGGGAAGGGAGCGTTGGGAGAGTTTCTGGCTTGTCTGGAAACAGCAAGACTAATTGCCATGCGCTTCCGGTTTGAAACTGGCAGCAGACAACATCTTGAAAATGACTCACGGCTGCTGCTGCTGCTCACAAAGAAACTCTGTGGCTTTCTCCCTCTCAGGTTTATGTGTTTGCTCTTTTGCAGTTTCCTTTGTAGTCTATGGAGAAGGAGCACATTTCCTCCACTCTCACCCTTTTCCTCCACCAAACAACTCTCTCTCTTACTCTCTCCATCCCTTTTTATCCCTTTTACACCATCAGCTCCAGAAGAAGAGGGGAGGAGAAGAAAAGGAGAGAGAGAGAGAGAGTTGTTTTTGGATCTGGTTTTGGTGAAGGTTAGAGGGACTCCGATGCTGCTGCAGGAGGAAAAAGTTCCCTGAATTTTCCACTGGCTGCAGGAAGAGAGCCCATTTAGTCATGGCTAAGTAATGTCTGCACACACCAACTAATCTCATTAGGCGTTTCCGTTCCCTAACACAGGAGGGTTTTGTGGAGTCCACTCTGCCTTTCTGCCACCCCTCAATAAAGATATAACTTGTTTTGAGACAAGCTATATCTTTCTTTAGGGGTGGGTGGGACTAAGCCGATTTGAATGCTGCATCCTTTGGGTCATGCGATGTTGGACGGCTTTTTGCAGACGACAGAATGACACAAAGATTTCATTTTAGTTTTCTCTCCGAAAGAAGAACTTTGTCTTGGTAACCTTTTTAAAGGATTTGGTGCTTTGATGTTCAGATTGTTCATATTTCCACACATTCTCCCGAGGAACTATGTAAAGTGATCAAAGGCCTTGGCCTTTGGGCCTCATGTGCCTCTTCCTTTCTGCCTCTTGGCTGTTTTTAGTATGCAAAATGTTGATCCAGCAAATAATTGTATTATTGCATTTGTTCAAACAAAAAAGTGTGACAGTTTTAAAGTCTTAATCTGACATTATTGAAATTAAATGTCCACCTACCCATTATCAACAACTAAAGAATATTATTTACATTTATTTATTTATTGTATCAGAAGTGAACTGAGGGTACAGTTGTAATGTATTTTTTAAAAAACATAAAGTTTAAAAACTTGGCATTATACTAAATGTCCTTTGACCAGTAGCTTGGCCACTTGGAGTGCCTCAGGTGTTGCTGAAAGAAGGTCCTCCATTGTATTGTCGAAGGCTTTCATGGCTGGAATCACTAGGTTCTTGTGGGTTTTTTCGGGCTATAGGGCCATGTTCTAGAGGCATTTCTCCTGACGTTTCGCCTGCATCTATGGCAAGCATCCTCAGAGGTAGTGAGGTGGTATCCTCAGAGGTATCCTCACTACCTCTGAGGATGCTTGCCATAGATGCAGGCGAAACGTCAGGAGAAATGCCTCTAGAACATGGCCCTATAGCCCGAAAAAACCCACAAGAACCTAGTCCTCCATTGTGCATGTGGCAGGGTTCAGACTGCATTGTAGTAGGTGGTCTGTGGTTTGCTCTTCTTCACTCTCACATGCCATGGACTTCACTTCGTGGCCCCATTTCTTCAGGTTGGCTCTGCACCTCGTGGTGCCAGAGCGTAGTCTGTTCAGCATCTTCCAAGTTGCCCAGTCTTCTGTGTGCCCAGGAGGGAGTCTCACACTCGGTATCAGCCCTGGCTTGCAGCATGCAACCAAACATTATTTACATTAAGCCATGTTTTTCTTAACTGAATGGCTGAAGATAAACTTGTCCACAGCTTAAAGACACATGTTGCTTTCTACTTCATATTTTTAGATGAAAAGGTGATCAGTTATCTAGGAAATCGCCTACATGCACAAATATGCTTATTCCAGAATAGGGAGCCCATATACATGGCAAGTATGACTATTACAAATGTGTGTTTTAGTGGGCACTGGTGATTTTTGAATTTCAATTTTGATTTTTGTTGCCTTCCATCCAGATTCAGTGGTGGGCTAAAAATTCAGTAACATAATAATAATAACTTTATTTATATCGCAGAAGCCTCCAGTGGCGCAATGGGTTAAACCTTTGTGCTGGCAGGCCTGCTGACTGACAGGTTGCTTGTTTGAATCCAGGAAGCAGGGTGAGCTCCAGTCTCAGTTCTAGCTCCTCATGTGGGGACATGAGAGAAGCCTCCCACAGGATGGTAAAACATCAAACATCCAGGCGTCCCCTGGTCAACGTCCCTGCAGACTGCCAATTCTCTCACACCAGTAGCAACTTGCAGTTTCTGAAGTCGCTCCTTACATGAAAAAAAAAAAGATATCCTACCACCATCTCCCAAAAGGGGCGGCTTACATAAGGATGAGATGGGTATTTTTGGGTTCAGCCTTGTTTGCAAAATTCCAGATGGGTGTAGTGGCTAGAAGTTCTTTATATAAATTAAATCTTACATGGATATTTTTGTTAGGAAGGAGGTGTTGACCATGTGTGTAACTTCAAGTGTCGACTGTTGTATGTGCTGTCCTTTGGAGCGTTTTGAAAAAAGTTTGGGATGTGTAGCAGCTTGATGATCTAGTGCAGGCATGGGCAAACTTTGGCCCTCCAGGTGTTTTGGACTTTAACTCCCACAATTCCTAAATAGCCTACCGACTGTGTGAGAATAATAATTGTATTATTTCGCAATACCAGGCCCGTAGCCAGGATTTCGTTTCGGGGGGGGGGGCTAAAAAATTTTCAGGGGGGGTTTCGGGGGGGCTGAGTTTCGGGGGGGGGGCTGAGTCTGAGTGAAAGAGGGTCTAGCCTAGCAAACCTTTTGTATCATTACCCCAATACCCCCATGCATATGGGATATATTGAGTATGGTGATCAGATCATGATATGAATAAACATAACAGTTTAAATAATGCACCAGTAAGGCCTTTTCGCGAACTACCATGAGA